CCCAAATTAAGAAGCATTACTTCGCATAGTATACTTAAAAAGATGTGATTAATTGGCTTGACGTGCCTTAGACACTGGGAAAAGATGGCTTAGCAGAAAGCAGCACTATGCACATACCTGGAAATATCTGCTCTGTGTCGATTCGCAGATTTATGCCCCTTGGAACTGAGAATGAACCTTTGGATTCATCACTTTCCGCTGTCCTGGCTATTTCGAAGGGCCCTCCGATATTGCCAGTCTCGTTTTTTCGTCCGAAGGAGCATTGGCTCGGCTGAACCTGAGAGTATTCATGGTTGTCTATGCGAACTGCCTGCAAGAGGTCGATTGTACCTAGAAAAGACATAAAGAAATTATAATTCTTGTAAATATATCCTTTTAGAAAATCACGGAAATAAGGTAAGCATGAAAAGAAGCAGGTTAAAATAAACAAGTAGAGATTACATTTTTTCCCTCATTTCCATATTTCACTTTAAAGATCCCTCACGGTTTATTTATCAATAAGTTTATCAAATTACTCGGTATTTTGTTAAAAAATATCAGGAAAATTGGCAAAAGTAAGATATCAAAGGAAAATCTTAATGATCAGGTTTACCGTGTGGCACTTGAGACTCTGCATTTGAAACTCTCAAGGCGAGTGCAAGGAGAGTCAGGAATAATATTGGTATGTAAAATTTTATAATCCTAGAGTAAACCTGAATTTTAGCTGGCATTTTTCAAAGAGGTCTCTCAAAGCCTAAAGTCGGATACCGATGCAGGGACAATGGAGCAAGGGAATTGATTATTCTGGTACACTTGATGTGATATCCTACTCCATGTCGAATTGAGGATCAATTTGATTCTGCTCGATCCACCTTGATCATCGTCTGGGCGTAGAACCCTAACCAATGGTCACTCAGGGGAAAATACCTAAGTGATTCACACTGTCTGGCCGCTAGTCTGAAAACAGTTCTATCTCTCGCATGTACTTCTTGGGATTTGCGTATGCCTAGACATGCTATCTGTTACGTATCGCAATAAGGCAGGTCCCCTTGTCGTCCCTCTCGCAGATACCTGAAGGATGATTGGCTGAATTGGTGGGTTTTGATGGCTTACTCGTTTATTGCAAGCGAGATATCCCATTGTGCCGTTGTCAGGGTATATGCCTTTGTGCAAGGCCGCGAAATACGGAAAGAGTAGCAGCTGAGGGCCTGGGGACGAAAGAGAAAAGCAAAACGACGAGTGGCAGATAAGAAAGGGTATATCTTAGGCCAAATGATCAGAGATGTCGGGCTAGGCCAACAAAAGAGGTTCAAGATTAGGAGGTGCTATGTTCTTTCCGCTATCTCTAGGCCTCCCTTCAGTACATTAGACAAAACAACTTCTAACTGTATGTGTCTGTGGGCATGTGGACTAAGACGTGAACACTAAGATGGACAAAGTCTTACCATTGGTGAACAGTTTATGAAGGTGGTTTGGCGAACAAGCTAGGCTGGATTCGTTCCAGAGCAAAACGGCCAGCCGGTTGTAGTGGATCTTATTCGAGAGATAGAGAAACCAGGGGCTGCGCTATGGCAAGAACGGCGCCAAAATTAAGTTAGCCTAGAATAAGTACGAATTCAAATTAAAAACATAGACATGTAACTGGGTATTTTAGCTGGTACATGCCTAGGGCTGTTATAGAGGGTCATGAAATGGAAGGGTCGGCGATCTGTCACGCCAACTTGTATAATTTTACTCTAACGAGGAAATAAGGTAATATTGCAGTAATCAAAATTTGCTTGTGAAATCAATCAAACTGAATATAACTCAGAAGATTACAGCTGATTCTTCACTGCATATCGTTGTTATATTTTTAGAATAATTCTGACTATTACAGTCCTCGAGTCACTTCCATTCGTTTCCATCTTACAGTGCTGAATTTTTTTCGTCTCAGTACGGATATGTTCAGAGCTAAAGTGACTGGAAAAAGCAATGATACATTGACAACTTCGATAATTGTCATCGATATTAATATCCAATCTACTTTAGGACTGATTTTGTGTCGCAGCTTATTACCTCATGCATTCCCAAAGGCAATTCTAACCCATGCTAAATTGCATTTTAGGCATCGCCTAGGCCTCACCAGCATGGGATGAGAGGTTTGAGGAAATTTGGCTTGTGAATTAAGCACATTTCGATACAATTGCAAACACAAATAATGCAGGCTTTGGCCCAGCGAATTAAACAACACTGTCGTAGTAAAAATCGGTCTAGATAGTAAGGCACAAGACCCAAACCCTAATAGCCCCTAACCCCTAAATAGGAAGAGCAGAGCTTATGGGACAACCTCTAGTCTGTTGAGTAAAATCACCTGATACACAGAGACTGATAATTTCTAACAAAATTATTTTAAAAGTTATATGAAATGTATTAACCCTAATTCGTTTAAGGTGATGAAGGACTGGTAGTAGAATTTTCCCACAATGATATGAGCAGAGCTGAGGCTTCCATTGAATTTCACATAGCATTTCCCAAAAGTTGCTCTAATCTAGAGTGGACTGCAATTCTGACCTCGCCTAGGTCTTACCAACACCCACAGCAGGAGTCGAACCGTGACAGTGAAGCATGTGAGCTTGACAAATTAACCACTCGGCCACATTGCCACGAGTGCCCTTTCAGTCACAGAGCAGATATGAATTTTAAGGAAGGCCAGGCTTTTTCCCATATCAGTAGTCTCGAAACTCTATTATATACTTAAAATATTTTAGAAGTTGTTTGACCCTATTTTCGCAACCTTGTTGTATTGTCAGGGAGATCTAGAGGAATACACTTTTCTGGAGTCCTCGTTTATAGTGTTCCTGATAGATTCCAGCTTTAGACCGGTGAATTGGTAGATTCCCGGACCTTTTGCCCGAATCGTAATCGACATATTCAGAGAGCCCTCTCGGTCCTAGCACCAGAATACAACTCGTTAAAGAGCACATGAACTCGATACTTTGACCAATTATCTGCTGAACATTTGTGACCTCTCTCATTCTGTCACCCATCCTACACCTTAGCTAAATCTGCTTAAAAAGCCACACCTGTAGTAGGTCTAAATAAGCAAGAGAGAAATTGAATAAGTGATAAGAGGATATGGGGACAGTAAATGCTCCTGGACGAAAAGAGAGATACCGCAACCGTTCATAAGACAGTCAGTTAAATGATCGACCTCACTTGTCTCTGACAAATTGTAGTGCGGTGCTAAGACTGATAAGGCGCACTGAGCCAAAAGAAAATTAAGAATTAAAAAACCTATATAAGAAGTAGGATAGAGCCAGATAGTGTTTTTGGCCTAGTGTTAACGTGAGACTCTTACAAGAATGAAACCCAGCTCTGATGATGTCC